CCTTAATCTGTCTTCATGGTCCCTTAATTGATTGTCTCTTTTTTCCTCAGTTTCCCTCTTTGCCATTAACTTGTCTTCTATGTCATTCACTCATTCTTCCACCTCGTTAACCCTCGTCGTTAGGACTTCTAGTTTGGATTGCATCTCATTCAATTGATTTTTAATTTCTGCCTGATTGGATCTAAATTCTGCAGTCATGAAGTCTCGTGAGGCCTTAATGCTTTTTTCTAGAGCCACCAGTAGCTGTAGAATAGTGCTTCTGAATTGGCTTTCTGACATTGAAGTGTAATCCAGATTTTGTAACTCTGTGGGAAAGAGGGCTGTTTCTGATTCTTTCTTTTGAAGTGAGGTTTTCCTTCTAGTCATTTTGCTCAGTGCAGAGTGGCCAAAAACAAGTTGTATTGGAACACGGGGGAGTATCACTGGTCCGTCCAGCTGGTCTTCTGGGGGAGGGGCCTGTTGCGCTGATTTTCAGGTGTTAGCACTTGGGGGAGCTGCTCTGCCCCTGCCTGCTGCAGGGCTCAGCGGGGGTTGTTTACCCCGTGGGGCCCCAGGAGGATCAGCCGCAGTTGCTATGGCAACTCTTGGAAGCCTGGATTTAGCCTCCGCAGGAACTACGGGGCTCGGGGCTCTCGGTTCTCTGTCCGCAGGGCCTGGAGGCTCCGGGGCGGGGCCGCTGATCTGCTCAGCTCGGGGCAGGAGCGTCCTCGCTGTCCTGGGCCCTCCCGGCCTCTGCCTGTCCCGGGGGAGGCCGGATCCTGGGCTGTGTCCCGGCGCCCTGTGCTCCGGGGCCTGCGCTGTTGGATTCGCGCTCCCGCCCCGCAGCCCCCTCCGCGGAGCCGCCGCCCGAGCCCCTCCGAGCTGCTCCGGTCGGTCCCGCCGTGCGCGCTGCAGCCCTTAGGGAGCTCGGAGCACTCTCCTGCGCTCGCAGGTGTCTGTTAGTGTCCCCGGGAGCCCGAGGGCATCCCCGCCCTCCTGGGTCCTGCTCCAACTCCCTGCGAGCCCCTTTCCGCCCGCCCGGGAAGGTTGGTGCAGCTCCTGCTCCTCCGGGACGGGGCTCTCCTGTCCTGGGGACACTCGCCCCGGCCTCAGCCCGGCTCCTCGCGGGGCCCCTCCCCCTCGGAGGCCTTTTGTGTCTTTATTTCTTTTTCCCCGTCTTCCTACCTTGATAGAAGCGCGGACTCTTCTCACTGTAGCGGTCCAGCTGGTCTCTCTTTACATCTCAGGCCGAATTCGTAGATTTTCAGGATGGTTTGAAGGTTATCTAGGGAATTTGGTGGGGACAGGTGATTTGGGGACCCTGCTCTTCCGCCATCTTGCCCCTCCCCCTCTTAGCCACTATTCTGGGCACAGGGTTGAGCAATAGCCTCGCTGCTTCTGGAATAGAACTTTTGTCCTGAGGGCAAACTAGGTTGGTTGAAGACGCTTGGGGCTCCAGCATTGCCAGCCTCCTCCTGCACTATGGTGAAGCTTCTCTTCTATAGGTGGAGGCTGTATGCAGGAAGGCAGCCTCTGCTCTTGGCCTCACTCACCAGGAATGTAACCTCTTCTCTTAGGGTTGGAGGGGATGAGAAATGGCCTACCTTTTTTGTGACATATGGGGTAATCCCCGATGAAGAGCTGAGAGGGAGCTCTGTTCTTGCGGCCACACCTACCTGGAGTGGAGTTTGTGAACTTGAGCTGGGGCAATGTCAGAAATTGGTTATGGCTCAGATGCCACAGACTGTCCCAGTACCAAGTTTTAGTAGATTTTCTTGAATAATGTTTCTTCCTTTGGATATGCTACTAGGACAGTCTCCAGAGACTTTCAATGATCATTTTTGTTGTTTTGTTTTAAACTTTTAATTTTCATTCTAGTTAGTTATCATACAGTATTATATTAGTTTCAGGTATATGGTTTAGTGATTCCAGAATTCCATCCATCACCTGGTGCTCGTCATGCTCATTGTAAGTGTCCTCCTTAATCCCCATCACCTATTTCCCCCAGTTCCTTATCACCTCTTCTCTGGTATCCATCAGTTTGTCCTCTATAATTAAGTCTGTTTCTTGGTTTACCCACCCACCCTCTTATTTTCCCCCCTTTGTTTTGTTTCTTAAATTCCACATAATAGTGAAATCATATGGTCATTTGTCTTTCTCTGACTTATTGTGATGAGCATTATACTCTCTCACTCCATCCATGTTGTTACAAATGGTGAGATTTCATTCTTTTTACTGCTGAATAATACTCCGTTGTGTGTGTGTGTGTGTGTGTGTGTGTGTGTATATCCTCTTCTTTATCCATTCATCAATCCATTGACACTTGGGCTGCTCTCATAATTTGGCTATTGTAAATGATGCTGCTATAAACATAGGTGGTCCATGTATTCCTATGAGGTGAGTGTTTTTATCAGCTTTGCTTATTTCATTGGGCTTTGGGTCTGTGAAGCACTTTCCCTGTCATCATAGAAGTGGAACTTTACATACTACTTAATTCCAAATCTTCCTAAAATTCAAAGATGTGTTCCCAATCCAGATAACTGAATTTTTGTTTTCTTTTATGTACATAAGTTTTGGTCATATATGAAATCCAGAGCTACCAAAATCCAGAGCAGTTCCTTGCACTATCTCAAGTGTCATACTGAGGACTTTTATAACCAGTGTGTGATGAACTAAAGATGTTATTTTCAGGGTTTATTTTACCTAGTGTTTTTTTTTGCCCACAGAAATCTGCAGTGTCTACCCAGCTTATTTACGTGACTGGATTTTGCAGTCTTTTGACTTCACTGATATGTGGATGTTTCCTTTATAGGATATTTGATGTTTTTTCACTTTCTTTCGTAGTTTGTCATATAACTTACAGACATCTAAGATGACATCTATTTTTTAATAAATATATATTTTTAAGTTTATTTAAGTAATCTCTACACCCAGCATGGGGCTCCAACTCATGACTCTGAGATCAAGAGCTGCATGCTCTACTGACTGAGCCAGCTAGGTACTCTGGTGATACTCATTTTAATTCTGAATTTTTAAATTGGCTCCATCTGTTATTAAATTATATTTTGTAAAAGAATTCTACTGACATCTGATTGTGCACTTCAGTCATATAGAATTTCATATAAAAATCAGAATCTTAAAATTTTAGAATTTGAATGTACTTTATCTTCTTCATCTTTATACTCAATGAGTAATCTTTTTTTTTTAACACTTTATTCATGAGAGACACAGAGAGTGGCAGAGGGGGAAGCAGGCTCCCCACAGGGAGCCTGATGTGGGACTCGATCCCAGGACTTTGGGATCAGGACCTGAGCCACAGGCAGACGCTTAACCACTGAGCCACCCAGGTGCCGTGTAATCTTTTTTTTCTAATTGCAGCCCTCTTTTATCACTTTACTATACATAGTATAGTCTTTGTCACTATACATAGTTCCATCAACCACTCTCTTTTCCTCTCTATATTTACTTGTGTTTACTCTTCTTGTGACCACTGAAAGATATTCTTCATCCTTATTAATCTGCTCAGATTCCTGAGAGGTAATCCATGGTAGGGCAGAGTAATCATGGTGAATCATTTCAGACATCACTGGAAAGGGAGTATATTGGTTTTCCTTGGGTTAACCATCTATTCTAGGTTCAGTGATGGGGAGGGGAGATGGGATCATGTTGTACAATATATTTCTATTTCTAAGATATCACCTAGATAATTTCTTCAATAGGAGCATAGGTTTGACAGTTTCTTACAGAATGAGGTGGTAGATACAATTGAACCAATTTGCTCACATTCTATGGCTTATTAATGTAATCATTTCTTACCTCAAGCTATAACTCTACATAGGTTAAATTGAGGAAGGTGTTGATAGCAGTCAGTTTTGTAGTAGTAACAGTATGCTGTTGGGAATTCCCTTAAATATAACATTCATTTGTATACTGTTGTAATGTCATGTAACATCTGCCTGTGATAGTGATCTGCCATGAAAATTTATTCCCATGATATCTGGCCGCTTGATGAATTTCATACTATAAACACTCATATCAAATATGGGATTTAATGGTAGAAGATTCATGTGTATTTTTTTTAAGATTTTATTTATTTATTCATGAGACACACACACACACACACAGAGAGAGAGAGAGAGAGAGAGAGAGAGAGAGAGAGAGAGGGGCAGAGATACAGGCAGAAGGAGAAGCATGCTCCATGCTCCCTGCATGGACATGGGACTTGATCCTCGATCTCCAGTATCAGGCCCTGGGCTGAAGGTGGCGCTAAACTGCTGAGCCACCTAGGCAGTATGGACACACAGAAACTGGTCATTGGTTGCTTCTAAGGCAGAGAATCCTCTGGTTTGGAGGACCGAGATGGACGTATATACTTTATTCTATTTGAATTTTGTAATGAGTTGTATGTGTTACTGAAACAGTAGTAAAACACTAAGAAGTAAAATAAAAACAAAATAATAACAAAAGAGAAAATAAATGAATTAGACATTCTTTGGATATAATTCTAGCTAAATATAATCTGGTGGCCCATTTGGGTGTCTTCTTACATTGATAAGCTCTTTGTGTTCACTGATGGCAAATTTGATTAGAACTCTTTTCTAGGTGGTAATCATATTCTTATATTTTATCATTATATTGTTCCTTCCAATATCAGATGATTAAGAAGAGTTGCCAGGTTTCTCTTTGACATCAGATCTATTCTTGATTTGTAATGCCAGTTAGAAGTGTAGCTTCACGAATAAAAAGACCATGGTGGTGGCTTATGAGTATTCTTCACTAGTGATAACTAAGATTTTTTGAGGTACTTTAATCTATATAGATGGTACAGAATTTAGCTGAATCTTTTTCCAAACTCTCATTTCTAAAGTCTAACTGATTAAATTCATTCTTGGTGTTTCATTTTAAAAGACTTTAGCAAATCTCTTTACATAAAGAAGAGGCATTATGTTCAAGTTTTAGGTTATTGTCATATCATTGTACTTTGAACATTTACAGGATTTCTTTTTATTTCTGCCCTTTAGCCGGCCTCAGAAAGTATGTTTGTGTCCATTTCTACCATTGCATCCTCTGCACATCTCTACTCATTTGTACATAATTCAGCATCCGGCAGAGGTGAGTAAATTTTGTAAAATACATAACTTCAAATATAATATCAGTATATAAGAGGAAACACCTTGATGAGCATATTCATACCTTCTAGCTCTCATGCCCCAGGCCAAAGGCAAGCGCTAAACCACTGCGCCACCCAGGGATCCCCAACATTTCTGAAAATAAATTGATGATAAATGCTTTGTCTTTGGGAAAAAATTTCTTTTATATGTTATAGTATAGTGTCTTAACGCTTTAGAGACAGATAAAAATTATTTCATAAAACTGTAATTCATACAATAATTGAATAGTAGAGAAATTTAGAATGCCAACAATTTTGTGTGAAGATGAACTTTTTGTGAGTGAAGAACTAAGAAAATCATTGCTTTTAAATTTTGATCATAGCTTATATTTCTTGATATTTCTTGTTAAAGTAGAAGTAACTGTCAATATTTAGCGTTACAAAATGAATGTATAGTTTTATTTAAGTGAATAGAGCATATATGTGTAAATTATATATTTTGCTTATAAAGACTTTTAAATTAGTACTTTCCTGTATAGGTGAGAATTATGCACGTGCTGGTGTGTATATGTGTTTGTAATTCGTAATTAACTGCAATAATGAAGGGAGGGAGGGAAAGATTTCATTGATAACCATAAATGATAGTCACTGTAAAACTAGTTGATGCATGATACGAAGTGGGTTTTGATTAACTGAAGTTAAAATTCTTTTAGCATTTGGGAACTCAGGACATAATCTACTGAATCAGACTTCTGAAGAAGGAATAATTTTTCTTTTAAATTTCTGAAGAAATCTTTAACAAAGACTTAAAAGATATCAGTCTGTCTTTTCCCTTTCCAATAATGAAAACACTTATTCTTGTATTATAAATTGTTAAATATTCCATTTGTTGGGTAGCCTTTTAATTTTTTAATTTTTAAGTTTTTTAGTGTTAACAACATGTTTTTGTTAGGATTTGAACAATTTGGTCACTAGTTTTTTTTTTCTGCATTTAAATTTGCAACACTCTGCAGCTCAGATTTTTTAAAAATGATAGTTTACTGGCCATAACAGTTTTGGATAAAACTTGACTTTTGATGGTGAATGCTTTTTTCCTTTTGCGGTGTCTATAGTATGATGTCTGTTCATTATCTCACTATTTTGTATATTTCATTATTTCCAGATATAATATTGCACTTAAAATGTAGGTGGTTTCATTGATTTATGGTAATTTTGTTTTCAAAGGCCTCTACATTGGTAAGAAGGAAGTAAAACTGTCACTATTTGAAATGACATGGTACTACAGAAAACCCTAAAGACACCACCAAAAACTTTAAGAACTAATAATTGAATTCAGTAAAGTTGCATGATATAAAATTAATATACAGAAATCTGTTGTGTTTCATTCTAACAATGAAGTAGCCAAAAGATAAATAAAAAAAAATCACAGTTATAGTTATGCCAAAAAGAATGAAATACTTAGCAACAAATTTAACAAAGGAGGTGATGGGGCGCCTGAGTGGCTCAGTCAATTAAGCACCTGCCTTCGGCTCTGGTTGTGATCTCAGGGTGCTGGGATTGAGCCCCGCATGGGACTCCCTGCTCAGCAGGGAACCTGCCTCTTCCTCTCCTCTCTGCTCATGCTCTTTCTCACTACCTCTGTCGTGTGCTCTCTCCAATAAAATAAATCTTTTAAAACAAAAACAAAAACAAAACAAAAACAAAAACAAAGGAAGTGGAAGACCTATAGTGTGAAAACTATAAGACATTGATGAAAGAAATTGAAGATGACATAAACAAGTGGGAAGATATACCATGCTCATGGATTGGAATAATTAATCTTATTAAAATATTTATATTGCTCAAAGAATTCTACCAATTCAATACAATACCTTTTAAAATACCAATATCATTTTTTCACAGGACCAGAGCAAATAATCCTAAACATTTGTATATCACCACAAAAGTAGCCAAAACATTCTTGAGAAAGAAGAGAAAAACTGGAAGTATCACAATCCCACATTTCACAATATACTACAAAGCTGTAGTAATTAAAACAGTGTTATGGTACTGGCTCAGAAATAGACACATAGATCAATAGAACAGGATAGAGAGCCCAGAAGGAAACACACTTTATGGTTAACTAATTTACAAACAAAGGAGGCAAGAATATACAATGGGGAAAAGATGGTCTTTTCTATAAATGGTATTTGGAAAACTGGACAGCTGCCTGAAAAACAGTGAAGTTGGACCTCTTTCTTATACACAGAAATAAATCCAAAATGGATTGAAGTCCTTAAACCATGTGAGACCTTAAACCATGAAGCTTCTAAAAGAAACATAGGCAGTTAAGTCTTGGACATTGGCCTTAGCAAACATTTTTATAAATATGTCTCCTCAAGCCAGGGAAACAAAAGCAAAAAAATAGTGTAATAAAGTGTTAGTGGGATGCCTGGGTGGCTCAGCAGTTCAGCGTCTGCCTTCAGCCCAGGGCATGATCCTGGAGTCCTGGGATCGAGTCCCATGTCAGGCTCCCTGCATGGAGCCTGCTTCTCCCTCTGCCTGTGTCTCTGCCTCTCTCTCTTTCTCTCTCTCTGTGTCTCTCATGAGTAAATAAATAAAATCTGTAAAAAAAAAATAAAAGTTTTAAAAAAATAAATAGTGTTAGTACTACACTAAAATTAAAGGTGTCTGTACAGTGAAGGAAACCATCAGCAAAAGGAAAATGCAGTCTGCTGAATAGAAGAAGGTATTTGCAAATGATAAATCTGATAAGGGGTTAATATGCAAAGTATACAAAGAACTTATGTCAACATCAAAAAACAATAATCTAGTTGAGAATAATCATTGTACCTGAAAGAAGACATACAGATGGGCAACGGACACAAAAAGACACTCAACAACACTTATTAGTAAAATGCAAATCAAAGCCACAATGAGATATCACCTCACTCCTGTTAGAAAGACTAGTATCAAGAAGACAAGAAATAACAAGTATTGGTGAAGATATGGAAAAAAAGAAACCCTTGTGTACTTTTGGTGGTAATGTGAATTGGTATAACCACTATGGAAAAGTATGGAGGTTCCTCAAAAAATTAAAAATAGAAATACCATATGACCAATAATTCCATCAGTGGGTGTTTACCAACAGAAAATGAAAACACTAATTATGTATGTAGAAAAGTGCTTAAGGATAAAATAAAACTGTTATCTCAAAAGTAACAAAAATATCTATAAGGAAGAAATGTTTTGTGAAACTGTGTTGCCTTTGCTTATGAACAATGTCTTTGTAGCCATAGTGATGTAAGCGCTGCTTATTGATTTAACTAAAAATATTAGAAGATGTGATGGTAAGGAGTAATAGAAGAAAGATAAATCCTCATTTATTATAAGAGGCTGTGGTTATACAGTAAGTACATTAGTTAAGAGTAAAGGCTTAGGAGCCAGATTGCTTGAATGTAAAGCTTTAATAGCTCTGTAAACTGTAACCCTGGGCAAGTTAATTAAACTCTTTGTGCTTTAGTTTCATCATTAGTAAAATGGACATGATAAAAGATACACTTCTTTACTGGTGTATTGTGGGTGGTAAATGAATCAGTTTATCTTTCTATCCATTTATCTATAATGCACTTAGAATTATGCACATTAGAGTCAGCTGTGATGATGATGATAAATGGTAGTTTGTAAAGAATATTTAAAATTGATAAATCAAGAAATAGTAAGACACTCATATTTTATAGAAATATGGAGATAACTACTAGAAGAAATAGCCAAAAGAGTTGAAGTGATTGCCTCTGGGAAGTGGTGGTGGGAAGTGTATCTGGGAATATTATAAATCTTTTGGCACTGCACTATTTAATTTGACATATATACATATGTTGTTAGAAGTTTGGAGAGTAGGGCTCCTGGGTGGTTCACTTGGTTAAGCATCTGCCTTTGGCTAAGGTCATGATCCCAGGGTCCTAGAATCAAGTCCCACAACTGCTTCTCCCTCTCCGTGCTGTGTTCTCTCTCCTTTATCTGTGCTGTGTTCTCTCTCCTTTATCTGTCAAATAAATAAATAAAATCTTTAAAAAAAAGTTTGGAGAGTAGTTTAAATAGTATGTGTCATAGTCTCATAGCGACAGTAAGGAGGAAAGAAAACAGTAGGACATACTGGAGAATGTCCTAAGCCTCTCTCCTCACCTCTCCTCATCCCATTTGTCATAGTTGCTGCTCTAAATTGGTTTCAGGCTCCTCACAGCTCCAGCTGCTACATGTTCTTTTTAGTTGTAAATCCCTGCAAATTCTGACCCTCCTGTTTCGTTATCCAACTTAAGGGTAGGTGAATTTACTATCAGTATCTCTAGATTTACCCTTTTCTATTATTTTAATCAACATGTCAGAGACCTAGGACGAAAGTGGTTAGCACAAAGATGTTCCTGAAGGGTGTGTGTGTGTGTGTGTGTGTGTGTGTGTGTGTGTGTGTTGAATACTGTTACTAACATACTTTTTGTTTCTGTTACAAAGGTAAGTAATGTTATTATAAACTTATTTTTAGTTACTTTAGTAAATTCACATGTAACATTACTCTTGTGCATTAATAAGTTATACATATTAATGTGCTATAATAGTCAAATTGTTTACTGTGAGAATGTATGTAAAGCAGTGTTATATAAATTGATAAAGGTAATGGGTCTATCTGTAGGTGAACTGGCTAGAGAGGGGGTCTGTCACTTACTTGATCAGGCTTAACATACCCAGTTGGGCCAGTGGAGAAGAGCCAGACAGTGACTGATCATTATAGACCAAAATAACCAAGAGGGAGGCTTAGGCAAAATAGCAAATCAGCTGGGTATACCAGGATAAAGGATAGAATTCTTGTGACAAGAAAGGTGGTTTTCAGTGTTGTAAGCTAGGATGTTGGGAAAAAAAAACACTGATAGTTTAATGGAGTTTACAGGAATGGTTACTAGATTTCTCTGTTCTAAAGTTGTTATATTTTCCCCCTTTCCATACTCTTTATTGTTGGAAGTGGGCCATAAATCTAGCCAACATTCAGGTGAGTAGGAGAGATTAAGCTCCAACTTTTGGAGTAGGGAGTACTTATGTTTATTACTTGGAATTCTTCTATAAGGAAGATTTGTCTCTTCTCTCCTATTTATTTATTTTATATTTTTGGATCATGATCCATACACTTTGCTACTTCCTTTATTACTTAAATTATTCCATTTTGGTCATTAGGAAGTTCTGTGTCACTTTGATATGTCCCATGATTTTGTTTTTTTCAGCACTTCTTTCTTTTCTGGACACAAAGATTTAGGCAGTTATCTTCAAGTTGACATAGTACAAAATGTAATTACTACTGAAATAAAATTTGCCAGAATAAATGATTCATTTTAGTTAAATAAAAATGTCATTTTTCATACTTTTAAAAAAGATTTTATTTTAAGAGAGAGAATGAGAGAGAGAGAGAGAGAGAGAGCATGAGCAGAGGGAGGAGTAGAGGGAGAAGCAGAGGGAGGGGGGGAGAAGAGAGGAGCCCCACTTGGGGCTTAATCCTGGGACTCCCGAGACTCCAGGATCATGACCTGAGCCAAAGGAAGATGTTTAACCGACTGAGTCACCCAGATGCCCCTCATTTTTCATAATCTTAACCATTATTTAGGTTAATTTATCTTCTTATTCCATCAGTAAACCTCTAAACACAAGTAGAATAAAAATAAGCAGTAGTATTTAATACTGATGAATCAGAGAAACTATAGCTCTTATTATTAAACTGTGGTCTGTAATAAAAGTCATGTGAAAGTTTTATATCATGTAGTGTATCAGATATTCATCATGAATGTTTTAAAAGTGTGTTTGTCTAAGTGAAAATCTATATTTTAATTATTTTTTTTAAAGGAAAGCAAAGTGTTGCGGACAGTTCCCTTATTAGCAGCATGCCTCCCCCAGGACAAGTGTAAAGTCAAGATTGGTCGTCGCTTCAGTGAAGAAAGGTAAATTATCTGGTAGGGCAATTTAGAATAAGTCTTACTTAAACAGATCTTTAAAAAAATGGTTCCCTTCACCTTATCCATCAGACCAAGAGCATGGTACATTGGAGGAGGTGAAAAAAAAATGAAGTTTTGCCTTCTCCTTCAGAATAATACAAGACAAATCAAAACATGAAGAAAAACACCCTCAGAAAACATAGACCAAAATGTAATAAACAGAGGGATTATCTGAATTCCATAATAATATCTGTTGAGCCTAAAGGGTGTATATTTACTGTTTATTTTTGTTAAAACTGTCTTTAAGATGGTAGAGTACTTAGATTTAGTTGTGTTTTTCTTTTTTTCTAGATTAACAATTATATATGATACACATTTATATAAATGTACACATATTTATCCAATTCTAGCTCATTAAGGCTTTCCTGAGGCATAGTGACTAGTACTATATCGAGTATTCTTGTTATAGGCACACCACATTTTTTTTTAAAGGATAGAATGCCTTCTCCTGTCATATTTAAAATATTCTTTTTAATGAGGCCAAGTATTTTTATAGGCAGCAGTCTATTAGTTAATAATTTCAGTGACAGTTCTATAATATTCTTGGATCTTATTTCATACTCTATTATGTAACCCAATATCATATTGGGTAACCCAATATCATATTGTAACCCAATATCATAAATATATACTGAGTGCATATTTGCATTTTTCTACAAGTCTTTTCTTATCTTTGAAGCATATTTTTTTTGCTTTCATGCCCATTCACAAAGCCTTCACTAATTATTTTGATCCTATCTGCAGTTAAGTATATTTTTATATGCAAAATTTAATTTCTTTTGAAAATATGGAGATTTCTTTTTCAGTCCAATTATGAAAATGCTAAGTAAGGCTAGTACTAGCTCCAAGCCCAGGAATTGGCCAAAATTTTCTCTTCCTTTATTATTTTAGGTTCTTTTATTATTTAGTTTCAAATTATGAAAACAACATCATGTTAGAACTTTATAAAATCATTTTTTCCCTTCTCTGAAACTATTTTTTAGGGGCAATTTTCTCATATAAAATTTTCTTTTACTTTGGCCTCAGAGATGAGACTTGCTCTGAGGTTGGTGCTGCTATTGTGAATTTTCCCATTTTGTTGGGAATGCATATGAAATCCAGAGCCCTTCACATGGGCATTCACATCATTTACATTGTGACATTTCTTTCATATATAGGCTCTTTATAATGAATGGTAGTCTCTTTATAATTCATAGGTGTATATAGATATATCTGAATTTGATCAGCTGCCAGCTTGGATCCAGGTTATTTTATTGCAAAAGTGATGAGTATCTATACTGGTAGAAATAGAAACTATCTGGGTCATCCCCTGACATTTGGTTATCTAACCCTTCCACAAATGTGTTTGTGGATGAGAAACTTGATGCTTTTTCAAATAGCTCATCCCATTTTGAATCTATTATATTAAGTAATTTGGTTTTTTTCCTCTGGAGCCTAATATAGTGCTTACTCAGTAAATTATTATTCACTGATGGATTTTTGAACTAAAGCCAATTAAGATTGTTATTTAGATGGTAATCTGGCAATCGAATGATATTAATTTAAGCTTTTGTTAGAGTACCTGTTGTAACCCGGGAGGAATGGTTAAGAGATCTACTGCTTTTGGTGTCCTTTGTAAATGGAATTTAAAAATAATTACCTTCAATTTTTTGCCTCTAGTATATAAAAAAATTTGGGTTTGGTGTATCAACTCTACATCCAGTGACTTTCTAAATTCATTTGGTACTTATTGAAATTGTTTTGTATGTTCTCTAGAACTTTCTGTGGGAGTATTATCATTTGCAAATAAGGTTATTTCTGATCTTTATGCCTTTTATTTCTTTTTCTTGCTTAATTGCAATAACTGGGAACTTTAGTACAATGTGTATTAGGAGTGGTGAAAGCCAACATTTTTACTTTGATTTCAATCTCAAGGGACACTGTAAAATATGATATTGACTGTACATTTTTGTAGATGTTATTTATCAGTTTGAAGAAGATGCCATTTATTGTCTTTAATTGACTCTTTAACTTTTCCCTTTAGGGTTATTTTATTGCTTGCAGACAGAGGCTGTCTCATTCATTATTATATCTCCAGTACCAAATACTTTGACATGTGTTTTTGAAGGAAGTACAATAAGAATAATTAAACTTTTTTTTCCCTCCCAAGCCATTAAAGATATTCTTTTTAAATTTTTAGAGATCCTGAACTTTCAAATGTTTGTCGGAAGTCTGATACATTAATATTATATCCAGGGGCTGAAGCTGCTAATTTGGAAGAATTTATATTAGATTCTCCTACTTATCCTTCCACAATCATCATCATTGATGGTACATGGAGCCAGGCTAAGGACATTTTCTATAAGAATTCTTTGTTCCGACTCCCCAAACAGGTAAGCTAGTATTTTAACATAGAATATATATACAAATGTGTAATTATGTACGTTGTATATGTTTTCTGTGGGGGGATACACTTTTCTATATATGAATTAGATGCTATTTATGTGTGTGAATGCTTGTACATAGATATGTATATGCTTGGTTGTGTGTTTGGTATGTAGATGTAGAAAATTTGAAACCTATTCACCTTTCTCAATTCCTACCATCAAACGTCACCGTAATTTAGGCATTTGCTATATTAAGAGTATCTCAAACATTTAATCAGTGAAATTTAAGGATTAATTATTTCTATGTGTATCAATGTTTTGTTAAGTGTTATGTTTAAATACTTTCATCTGGTAACTAAATTACGTTGTTCTTACTAGGAATGACTGAATTTTTATGAAATACTTTTTTGTCATTCGTTATTATAATTAGATTATCCCTCAATTTGTTGATGATGATACACTTCCTATAGTGAGCCATTCGTGTTCTTGGAGTGAATTCCACTTGATCATTTTACATTATCCTTTTGATATATTGCTGAAACTTTTATTTGATTCTGTTGAATTATAATTTATATGTTTTTTTGTGCTTTTATTATATTATCAGGTTTGGGTACTAAGATAATCTTAAGTTCACCAAATCAGTGGAGAGATTTTAATATTTTTCTATGACCTGGAATAGTTCAAACAATATTGGAATTCCTTGCTTCTTAAAAATTAGAATGAACTCATTGGTGAAACCACCTGCTCCTGGTCTTTTTAAAAATGATAACTTTTAAACCCTTCTTTCAAACTCTTAAGTTTTCTCCTATTTGGTTCAGTTTTTTAATAACTTTTATCTGTTTTGGGTAATTATTCCTTTCACCTGAGTTAACAAATTGATTGCCATACACCTGAATATATATATATTCTTAAATACTTAATTTATTCTGAATTATGTCCTTTCTTCTTTCTAATCACTCACAGACACAGACACATGCACTTTTTTCTCTCTAAACATACTCAAAAGATGTTTCTCAATTTTAAATATGTTTTGAAAGTATTAGCCTTTAGATTGTTTTAATGGCTATTATACTTTATTCTTATTTCCTTAATCTGTTGTTTTATCCTGATCAGTTGCTTTCACCTTTTTCAGTTCATTTTTCCTGTTTTTATAAGATTTTACTGTGTATTCCTTCCCTTTACTAAGAGTAGTGAGTTCCTTCTTTAATAATAGAGAGAGAAGGCTGCGATATTTCATCTTAGTGTGACTTTTATTGTATCTTAAAGGTTTGGGTTGACATTTTTATATCTATAGCATTGGTATAATTTGTAATTTGTTTTGATTTCTTACTAACCATGGATTATCAATGACTTCTTAATTCTTAGGTGTTATAACATTTTTGTACCTGTTTTATTTTTATTTCTTATTTTGTTGAATTTTGATAAAAGAACATTGCCTGCAGAATTTTGAATTTGCTTATGATTTCTGTGTAATTACATGGCATATTTTTGTATCTGTTCTGTGACTATAACAATTCACATTCTCAGATTTTTCTTTTTACTCTTATTTTTGTCATATATGAGGTGTTTGATACTGAAAAAGGTATTTGAAAAGCTTCTGTTTATGTCTTTTAAATGAAGTTAGCTCTGCATTTCTAGTAGCTTTTGTGTTATATGTTTATCTGTTTTGTTGTGAACATAACGAGACTTGTACTTAGTGACAAATAACAGTGAACCTTTGGTTCTGAGATTCTCATCTCAAATTCTTTATAGTTCTCATTCCCTTTGATAATGCAGATACGGCTTTTAGATGAGACTCATCTATGTAAAAGAGATGTAAAAAACAGCCAACATGCTGAATGCTTTCAATGAGCCAGTCCCGATTCCAAGTGGTTTACTTGTATTAACTTGCTTATTACTTAAGTGTTCCCCAAAGTATTGTTACTGTTTTAGGTAACACAGGGAGGAACATAGACACAAGACATGTTCAATAGTTTGCTTTAGAGCACACAGCTATTTCGGAGCAGAGCTGCCACTTTAACCCATCTAGTTTAGAGCCAAAGCCAGAGTGACGTACTGCTTCTGAAAGAGAAACTGCCATTGAGGCTATTTACCTAGGATAGCTTCCACAAGAACCAACTCTGAAAAGGCAGGGAGACTGTTAGGTTGCCACACACTTTAGGCAAAATTTATGTTCACATTACAATTAGATATCACCCAACATACAAAGGAATTTTAATGGAAGTCTTATATCTAAAGTTTTGACATTACTCATTATTTGCCCTATCAGTCTATGTGTGTATTTTATGCTATTCTGAACTTTTTGAGAGTTAAGGAATAGGTATCGAAATTTACTTTTTGAAATTGAAATGTTGCCATCTCTAGCAAGAGCTCTAACAAGAATGTCTTTTCCCAAATATTTTTCCTAAATATTTTTTTTGCCTGGAATAATACCTAGCCCAAATATATGAGTGTGGGTTGTTGGTTAGACAAAATGTTTCTAGAAGTTGTAAAAACCAATGAAATCTGTACATTTACTCTTTCTTAAAAAAAAGTTTTATATACATATACATATACACACATATGTATATAACATACATCTACACAGATAGGTAAGTTGAGGTGAAGAAGGGATTGATTCTTTTTTTAAATATTTTATTTATTTATGATAGACCTAGGGAGAGAGAGAGGCAAAGACACAGGCAGAGGGAGAGACAGGCTCCATGCCGGGAGCCCGACGTGGGATTCGATCCTGGGGCCCCAGGATCGCGCTCTGGGCCAAAGACAGGTGCTAAACCGCTGAGCCACCCAGGGATCCCAAGGGATTGATTTTTAAATGTAACTACATGTATCTCTAGACATCCATAAAATGATATTGATAATTGTAGTGATTTTATAGTAAAATATAGAACTACCTTCTCTAACACTAAAAAGATTTGCTTATTTTTAATATATTCTTCCGTTCTTAAAAAATTTCCCATTCATATGTAATGATTTTTATTTAATCAGTAACTGTTCCCTGGCTTTCCCGGAAAGAATTTTGTTTTATTACGTAATAAACTTTCCAAGGGGCCACACTTTAATAAGTGAATACAATTAAGTTATAAGTAGTGTGCATTGCTTATGGATAATTAATGACAGAACTCCAACTCTAACTCCAACAAAAAAGAAAGTACACATGTCATGTCACTGGGAAACTGAGAACCAGTAGGAGTGGCTTCAGGCTTGCCTGGATCTGGTTCTCAAGCAGCTGTTTTTGAGGTTTGCTTCCCTATGTGTTGGGTTTAATTTTTGACTTCCTCCCTGCTACTGGAAGTAATCTGTAGGAAGCAGCTGATTAGTCTCTTCTTGGCTTCATTTATCTTAACAGAAAGATGATTTCTCCTTCCCAAGGCAGATTCCTGGATGGTCCTATTTTTGGGATTGGTGTAGATGGTGGTATCACTCTTGACAGCAGGACTGCGTGAATCTGGAAATTTCTCCAAGGACATGAGGTGTTGTTTTCAGGACTATTTAAAAGCAGGGATGGGCAGACCAAAAACCCATAGATAACCAGACCACTGTACATCAGTTGTTTAATTATAAAAACATGTTTGTTCATACATTTCTTGATTCATTCACAATTAGTGCTGGATAGCAATATTTTAATAATTCTCCCTTATGGTCTTGCTCACCAAGGGAAAAACAAAAATGGAAAACATAAAATGAAAATTCAGTTCTTCTCTAAGTTTCCCAAATCTGTAAATAATGTATAAGTTAATTAACTTTTATTTTTAAATGTGATTTATCAGTTTTCTTTTACTATCCCATCAATACACATATACACCTGCTTTTTTGCATAAATTTGTCTTAGCTGTTACTCTTAGTTTAGCTGATCTATTCAGTTTTTGTAGTAGTATAAAAATTTTGCTACAAATACAGAAGAAAAAATGGTAGAAAGAAAAAAATCAGAATTAAAATCCAAGGTATTGCTTCCTTTACAGAAAAAATACATAGCTTTTTTTCCCCCCAAATAAGAGAATAATCATATGTAAACTGTACTTAACCATGGAATGAAGGAATTGTAATACAAACCCATTAAGTTGGCCTCTTTTTAATCTAGATTTCTAATATATCCAGACCATTTGGCAGTGAATATCTTCCCACAGAGGAATTTTACACAGGACACTCTTGACATTGGCTAGGAATAAATCCTAGGTGAATATGGAAATGTTTGTGGAGGCTCCCACCTTTCTTCATAAACTTATTTTCAGTGAGTTATTTGCATTTCCTTGCTTTACTGCCTATAAAACTTCCTCTAAAGCTGAATTTCTTACTTGATAAACAGAGCACAGTTGGGAGCACTCACAGGCTAAGATATCTTCATGAAAACTATTTCGTGTGTCTACATAGACCTATTGCGGACCGGATTATGTTACATTTCTAATTGATTGTGTAGTTCAAATTCATCATTATCCTCTTAATTTTTAAATTGAGATATAATTGATATATAACATTATATTAGTTTCAACTGTATATAACATAATGCTTTGATATTTGTATTTATTGTAAAATAATCTAAGTCCAATTAACATCTGTCAGCATAGTTGTCTTTCTTGTAATGAGAACTTTTAAGATATTTTCTCTTAGCAACTTTCAATGTACAGTGTGGTATTATTAGCCATATTTACCATGCTGTATATTACATCCCCATGACTGACTTACTAAAAGTTTGTATCTTGTTACCCACTTCACCTATTTTGCTTCCCTCCACCTCTGGCAACTACCAATCTTTTCTGTGTATCTAGGAGCTCATTTTTAAAATTATTATTATTTTTTTAGATTCCACCTATAAGTGAGGTTATATGGTGTTTGTCTTTCTCTGCCTGATTTATTTCACTTTGCGTAATACTCTCAAGGTCCATCCATGTTGCAAATGATAAGATTTCCCTTTTTTAATGGTTGAATAATGTCTACTATGTGTATGTTTGTATATGTACATATGTGTGTATACACATACACATGCACACACACATCACATTTCCTTT